AGCCCAGGCACTGACACTGGTTGTCAGTCCGGAACTAAAGCGGTACGGCAGCTCTCAAGGCGAGCAGCTTCACGGCGGCGAGACGATCACCGGCTGGAAAGGACTTACCGTATCGTATCCAGCATGATAACAGGTGCGTTGGCAGAAGCCACGAAGCGGGGTCGATAGGACAAGAATATTGAAACTCAGCCTTGCATATGCGCTAGTGTATACGTTGCTTCTCCGGTGAGCGCATGCATCAACCAGTGCATATAAGCCTACATGCAGGCTGCCACCTAGTCAGAGGCTCAGGTGGCGCTCATGAGATTTTGCACATGCGATTCCAAATGAGTGGTGGCTAATTCTGGTGAACAAGGCTGAGATCATGAGCATGATGTGGGGCTCCTGTGGGCACTCTCACCCTTACCCTTTACTGGTCCTCGTCACTTCACACCGTAGCTTTTCAAGCTTGAAGCATTGATTTTGACTAGAGCCACTTGTTGGACGTGATCAGATCAGAGATCAGGAAGGCGCTTGGGCTGTTTCAACGGAAGTGGTACGTATTGGCTAGGCCTGTTGATTGGCCGAAAGATTTTTTGACAAGTACAGCAAAGGCTTCGGAGATGGGGTTACGAGATAGCTTCAGAGCCGTCGTGAAACCGAAACGGGAGCCAGTCAATGCACCCAGACCACGAGTCAATGTACCAGCACCTCCGACCATTGAAAAGGGTGCATCTTCCCCGTTGCCACTAGCAAAACCCGCGTTACAGCGTCCGACCACAATAAGGCCCTCGAAACCCGCACCGCCAAAGCCACGCGTCACTCCTGAAGAAATCCGAGCCCTTAGAGACCTTATCAGGCAACGATATGCGCTTGACATTCAAATATGGGAAAAGAGAAACAACACAGTGTTTCAACGGAGGCTATTGAATGAGAAGATGAAAAAGGCTGATGCAGCTCTGATAGACATCAATAGGTGCCTAGTAGATTGGAATTACCCGGAACGCTTCGAAAGTCGCGAGCAGTACGAGAAATTTCAAGAAATCAAGCACCGGATAGAGACAGGATACAAGAGGAAATGGCAAGACGAACCTCCGTGGGTGCATATGGACACTGGAGGGGATCCAAGCCTGGGGCCCTTTGAGACTGATAGTCGATCGTTGTCTTCAAGACCGCGATGATGGTGAAAGGAAATGGCAACGTAGGCCGGAAACAATTGCAATGATAGTGTTGGTACGACTTGACTTGAAGCGCACAAGATGCGACTTACCAAAAGACCACCTTATTTCATCTGCAGTTCAGATACATGAAACCTGCGCCGCGGAGCGAAGTAGCTCCAAGTACCCCACCACTGACTGGATATGCCCAATACACTCCGCCGGGTGCCTTACAGGACACAGTCACATATGCAAAGGACAAAGTCCGCAGCTTCACCTGGCACATTTTCCAGCTCACATTAGCATGTGATTGTACTGGTATTGCCTACCCAGATTCGCAGGTTGTGTTACCTCGAGAGGAGTACGGTCGGATTGTTTGTGCTCCAATACCACAGGTCAACTCAACCGCACCTACGCCGCCGGTACGCCGAAAAGCCTAATCGGATGCATCGTATACTGAGAACACCGAGGGTCCACTGGTACACATGCATAACTCTGTTCCGAAGAGACAAGTCGAAGGGCCTTCATCATTTCAACACAGTGCCCCCGGATATTGAGGCGACAGAGAACGTGGCCATGCGCATTCTTGTCCGATTCATCTTCTTTCGCAGAGTGTTTTAAAAGCGGCTATCGGTGCGACTCCAGTCCGAAGGGCGCCTCTGTTCGTCATTGCTCGTGCAAAGCGCGTCGCGGGGGTTATGCGGGTTGGGGACGATTCGACGGTTCGGCGCCTCGTGTCTTGCGGATAGAGCGTAGCGATCGTATGGATGATGTATAGAATAAGTTATATCTCTATAGCATTGCAGGCAGTGTATGTGGCCCGAAATTGCTGGCTGACGGTATGTGAGCAAGTCTGCATGCCCAGGTGCTCCACCGGCTGCGAAATTGTGTCCGTGCGCTGGCAACGCTTTCTAATCGCATCTGCACAACCTCTTGGCTTTCCACCTCGCATTGCAATATCTATCTCTTCGGATCTTTGCTCCTCGCAAATGTCCATCAGAGTTTCGTTCGATGGACCTTGCGGCAGATGGCATGTCACATCTACATTGAGCCTGACAGGCATGCAACGCAAATGAAATGTATCCATGGATGGTTTGAACAAGCCCAGTGTCTTGCTTCGCTGACAGGTGCGGTGTTCACCTGATAATTCACACACTGCCCTGAAGATAAGAGTTCGTGTTTACCAAGGGGCCTGGTGTTCAGTCTCGTACTGTTCACCGCTGTGTGGAGAGCATTGACCACGATCCAACAAATGGTAGCCTTCACTCTCGATAGTGGAAAGAGGAAGCTATACAAGAACGGTCGTAAAATATGGGTCATCGCACAGTTGGTAGCTCGTTCTTTTCAATGCCATCCTTGGGCGTTCATAAGAGTGTTACTGCCAAATGCTCGCACGCGCCTATCCGACTTTGCAAGACTACCCAGGTGTTCGCACCGTCACTTCTATCAAGGACGGAATCGCGCGCTAGTGCGAAGGCACGATCACTCACAATGTACACAGATCAGTCAACATCGCATGTCATTACCGCTATCAAGTGTACATCCGTTCGTCAGTATCGTCCACATCGTTAATAAGTACACTTTCATCGACGCACTTGCGTGGCCAATATACCTACCGAACCAGCATCTAAAACACAGCTGTACATACGGCTACGATGGCTCAAAACAACACACGTTCGATCAAAGTTGTCGTCAGAAACCTGTTCAGCAACAACAGAAACACGAGTTCTCCACGGCGTCCAGGTAAGCAAGCCATCCGGATCGAATGCTTGTGCTACAAACACAATCGAAAGATCCTTGAGAGAAGTCCCTAAACCGAGTGCGGGCTCTATCTAGGAGCCGCGGATATATGAATTTCGGATTAGGGGTCTGCGTAGTGAAGGCTTCTGACTGCCGCTGATAAGATCCAGATAATCCTACCAACACTGGCCGTAATAACGACGCCAGGGGTAAATTCGCTCAGCCTGCAACCACGCAACCATCAAGACTTTCGCAGCCAGTTCAGCCTGACACAAGTTCCGCGCAGAGTACCTCTTCTTCTCTCATGCCGACACCGGGTTCTCAGCTTGGTCCCAGCGCAGTCATGCCGTTGTACGAGCAGATCAAAGAACGTGCCCACTACCTCTGGGGCGATGCCTATTACTCTGTTCTTACGAATATAGTTCCTGGACGTAGAGACCAGCGGCTCCACAAATTCCATCGCTACCTATATTCCGGGGTACACTTCGATCATACGTCCGCAGAAGCTCGTCTTGTACGCTATGAACGCCGAATAGGCGGCGTTCTCGAGAAGGGGACGATCTTGAGAACATGTCGTGGACAGGACGTCAATGATGCGATCGAGAAATTGTCAACTCTGCTAGGAGTATTGGTGTCGTGTTCAACCTGTACGATATCGGGTGAATTAATAACGAAATATCTCTGTGAAACTAACAGTAAGGCAGCAAGAAGAGCGGGTGTAGTCAACGGATGGTTCTTCGAGGGGGCACAGATGGGCACCGTGGATAATTTCGAGGTACTTGAGGAAGATGAGTTTGCTTTAAAGAGGTGAATTTAAAGGGCTTGATGAAGGAGTATGGGCTCACGAGCAAGCTTCTTCCTAGTGTATGGGAATAGGATCAACCTCTGACCCCAAAGCCAATTGTTTCAAGCATGAAAGTACGATCAAGTCGTTTGCCTTGCAATCACTGCAATCTATGAATGGGTACCATCAATTAGTCATGCCACCACCGAGTACTCTCCGAGTGACATGGGGGGAAGATCCAACAATGAGCAGAGAGATTGTACGACTTCTCGCTGATTGGCGGCACCTTGTTGCGGCGCTACATCAGGTCGTATTAGCGATGGGTCTTCGACACCTCTGCAAACGCCATCTATCCTGACAAGACGCTTTTGGAAGCGCTTCAACACCGTTCCCCATAGATGCCGTCATTCTACCGTATGGACACCCAAGTCTGTGGTAAGCATCTACCACCGCGTGCCCAAGGTCGAGCTCGTGGACTCACTGTGGTCAGGTGTCTTGCCGTTGGACCTCATGCCGCTCTCTTACCCTGAGATGCCGCGGAGAGTAGCGCCTTTACCTGTTTGACAGCGTGTATTGGGCATGAGCTGCTGACACCAGTCGGCCATATAAACCTTCAATTCGCTTCTTCCTCTCACTCTTGACCATCTCACTATCACCAACTCCCTATCAACACCCCACGCAGCATTTGACCTTCGGCCTTCCACCTTCGACTTGGACGAACCGTCGACGCTCCTTTACGACAGTCTTCGGCCTCAACCTATCGAAATCTTTTCAACAATAGCTCTATCATCCCGGTGCCAACATCGGAGTGATCATCATGCCCGTCCCCATGCATTCGCACAATGATATAGAAGATGGCGAGCTAGTACGTCAGACATCAGCGATGAACATCACCGAAGAGTCATGGTTGGAGAGCACCGAAAAGGTATTTAAGTTGTTCGACACAGCATTCAAATTGGCTAACAACGTCAGCTCGACAAGGTCCAAAACCTCAAGGAAGTTTGCCTCGGCAATTGTCGCCTTCTTTACGGTAGCGAGAGAGGCAGGTTCTATGGCAAGAATAGAGTCCAGTCTCATTTCTCGACGCTGAGGCTAACGCAACACTAGACATCGTGATCTGCGAGGACGAGGACACTAAAAAGTTCGCGGCTATCTTGACCTGCAACCACGATTGCCAAACGAAGCTTTTGCGCACCGAACTGAGCTCGTGTCCTGTCGTGGCTGTCCGTACTCTCGTAGACGGTCTTCAGAAGGACACGGCCAAGCTCTTCTGTACGTCCCCTTCTACCTCAACATCCTCATCCTCATCCTCATCGCTGTCGACAACCTCAACACCCCTGATGCGTTACTAACTTGGGCGTGTAGTGAAGTACGCTGTAGGTTCTCAGATACGAGGCCAACAGGGATATACCGATGTGGAAACCGGAAAGTTTGTGTTGTGGGACATGGCACATGACAACCGCATCCGCGGTCCTAACGATGATACCCAGGGACTTCTGCGAAGCTGGAGCGACGCACCGGGCGCAGAAGGTCGACCTCCATCCGGTCCTCGCGGCGATGGCTACTACAGCCGGAATAACAAGCGTATGCGACCGGTCGAGCGTCCAGTCGAGCGACCGGAGAAGCTCATGCCTGAGACGGAAATTGTCGACCTTGATTACTATGACTAGGACAATATGGAACCTTGGAGGGGATGGCTGGTTATCGGAAGTTCGAGAGGAGAAGAGTGTGAGTTGGATCCAGTTCGACCTCGTCGTCAGGGTCATGGCGTGATAGGGTTCAGAGGCCGATCCATCTTCACCTGAGATGAGCTTGAGTCCCGGTGCGGTCCTATTCCTAGCGTAGATGGTCGGCGGTCTTTGATGTGCTTGGAGCGCATGGTCATTTCGACGATCTCAAAATTTTGTCTACGCTGGATGGTGTGCTTGTCAGAGCCTTGTGGTACGATGTGAGTGTGGCGGAACAAATGAGATCAATCTGAGGATGTTTGAGGAAGCCTTCCAAGTTGTCTATCGACGCGTGTGCACGTGAGATGGAGTTTGGCTGGGTCCAAGCGCCCGCGTCATGACGTACCACACTCCCCTATGCCACCCGCTTTGCTAATGGCTATGTCGCTCAAACCAGCCTCCACGTCATGAACAGCCCTTCCAAACGACGGAAGAAGAACGATGGCTCCGGAAAGCCGGTACGAAGTTTAGACTACTTTTTCGCGAAGCAGACGGCTAAAGCAACAGCCAAAGATGCGCCGACGAACGCAGGCCCGAGCGAGCCGCCTGTGGAGGAAGACAACACAGGGCTAACAGACGAGGAGCTCGCGCGCAAACTTCAGGAGCAATGGGACAAGGAAGATCAACAGCAGGCGCAAAATCAGGAACCGGTGAGCTCAAATGAGCTGTACGAAGAGCCCCAGAAGGCCAACACGAAGGATACAGCGCAAGATGCAGATGGGCAGGTCGGGGTGTCAACATTGCCAACGCGCGAACCGGCTCTAGCAAACACGCCATCGGAAGAACCTACCCAGAAGAAGAATACGCTGTCTCTTCAGTCGACCGCATCCGAAGAAGACGTGATCACAGCGAACATACCATTCGACCAGAGCCCTCTCGAATTCGAGCCTTCGGAATACATACCAGAGTTACAAAAGCATTGGGTGGTCGACGGAGGGCACGCGACATACGCGCTGTTGACAAGATGTTTCATCTTGGTCAACAGTACGACGAGTCGCATCAAGATTGTTGACACTCTGGTCAACCTTATTCGGACGATCATCGAAAGCGATCCTAGCAGCTTACTTCCAGCTGTCTGGCTCGCGACGAACGCAATATCGCCTCCGTACATCGATCTGGAACTTGGGTTGGGAGGTTCCGCGATCTCGAAAGCGCTTAAGAAAGTTTGCGGACTGGACAATGCAGGCTTGAAAGTGTTGAACGCCAAATATGGCGACGCTGGAGATGTAGCATTCGAGGCAAAGAAGAAGCAGAGCTTTACCCTGCGTAAACCGAAGCCTCTGACGATCAGGAGCGTCTTCGACTCGCTAGTCAAGATTGCGAACAGCAAAGGCCATGGCAGCGTAGAGAATAAGCAGAGGATTGTTGAGAGACTGGTACAAGATGCGCGAGGTGCTGAGGAGAGTCGATACATCGTACGCACGCTTGTGCAACACCTGCGGATTGGAGCTGTCAAAACCACAATGCTCATCGCGCTGTCACGGGCCTTTATGCTGTCGAAACCGTCAGGTGCCGAATTCGAGATCCGTGATAGGAAGGACCTGGCAAAACTGAAGAAGGAGGAGCTCGCGGAGATCTACAGCAGGAATGAGGAGATCGTGAAGGCATGTTTCGCTCGACGACCGAACTATAATGACCTTATACCCGTACTTCTCGAGATCGGTGTCTGCGACGAACTACTAGTACGCTGTGGGCTGTCGCTACATATCCCACTCAGGCCCATGTTGGGAAGCATTACGCGCGACATGGGCGAGATGCTCACCAAACTACAAGGACGAGACTTCGCCTGCGAGTACAAGTACGATGGCCAAAGAGCACAGGTGCATTGCGACGACAAGGGCAAAGTCACGATCTTCTCGCGCCATCTGGAAGTGATGACCGACAAGTATCCTGATTTAGTAGCACTGGTGCCCAAGATACGTGGCGAGGGAGTCTCAAGTTTCATCCTCGAAGGCGAGGTGGTTGCTGTTGACCGCGAGAGTGGAGATCTCAAGACGTTCCAGACACTTGCGAATCGTGCGAGAAAAGATGTGGTTATCGGCGCGGTGACAATCGACGTTTGTCTCTTTGCATTCGACCTAATGTACTTGAACGGCGAGGAGCTGCTCAACAGGCCTTTCAGAGAGCGGCGATCGCTACTGAAAAGTCTGTTTGTTGAGATACCGCACCATTTCACTTGGGTCAAGAGTCTAGACGCTACATCTGCCGATGTAGAAGCAGTCCAATCCTTCTTCCAAAGCGCCCTGGACATCAAATGCGAAGGCATAATGGTCAAGATCTTAGACAATCTACCCAACCCCGACCTCCTCGCGGAAACCGACGAAGCCATCGAAAAGACGCCTTCCCTCCCACCAACACCGAAGAAGAAAAAGCCCACGAAGTCGAAAACAAAGGCAAAGTCCAGTGAGACCGAGAAAGACGAACCAAAGACATCCGGCCGCCGCAAAGCCCTCCTCTCAACCTACGAACCAGACAAACGCCTAGACAGCTGGCTCAAAGTAAAGAAAGATTACAGCACCACCTCCGAAACCCTCGACCTGATCCCCATTGCCGCCTTCCATGGCTCTGGTCGCAAGGCAGCATGGTGGTCACCTATTCTTCTCGCCATCCGCAACGCGGAAACCGGACAACTGGAAGCAGTCACAAAATGCATGTCCGGCTTCACGGACGCGTTTTACAAAGCGAACCGTGCAAAGTACGATCCAGACGACCCTGATTCCACAACCATACTAGCAGGGAAACCCCATTACGTGGAGTACAATGGTGGGGCGGGAACGCCCGCTGTTTGGTTTGAGCCGCAAGAGGTGTGGGAGGTAGCTTTTGCGGATCTGACGTTGAGTCCGACGTACACGGCTGCGATTGGGCTGGTCAATGAGGATAGGGGGTTGAGCACTAGGTTTCCCAGGTTCCTGAAAGTCAGAGAAGATAAGAGCATCGAAGAGGCTACTGAGGCGGAGGAGCTCGCCAGCTTGTACCGGAAACAAGAGGCCAAGGCACCTAAGAAAGATGAGACTATCAGAGAGGTTGAAGATGAAGATGTGGAGTAAGGGATGGCATGGCACAGTAATGGTTGGATACCCTGGAGATAACGTCGTCACTTGAAATGATCGTAGTAAAGAAATCTTTGATTGCATGTATCTTCTGAAACTACCGCTTTGGTCTCTCCCTCAGTATCCTGCAGCGCTGATACTTCAGCCTGCGAAACTTCAAACGTCGTATCCGATTCCTTCAAAGAGATGGAGATAGGAAAATCGTTATCCTCCTCGAACGTGGGGTATCTGCTCGTGCGCACCGCATCTCAGCACTGTCGCGTGTGAGCCACACAAGTGCGACATGCCGGCTTGCTCTTCCTCCGCCGTGTTGTTGGCACGACCTTGGAGCGGTCGTTCGGCTTCGGCGGTCGGAGCGGCGGTGCGCATCGCATCCACGTGCTTGTGGGTTTAGAAACCGTGGACCTTGATGGTCTTGCCATCAAGGCCCAGGCCCTCCTTCTTGTCGGTCAAGAAGTCTTGAACATCCTTGCGCTGGTCTCCCTGCAACTGGATCACCTCTCCCATCTCGGTGTCTGCGACGACGGTGCCATTGCAGGCAAACTTCTTCTTGATGACTTTGAGAATCTTCTTCTGGTCGAACTTCTTGGGCAGTCCTTGGACGGTGGTCAGGGTCTTACGACCATTACGCTCTATTGGGGGTTGACGTCAGCCTTGCGCGATTTCTTGAAACATGGGGAAAGAGGGGAAGGGACGGCGCGCCGATGTCGCACACATGCGAATTTCGGGGAGAAAGAAGACAGAGGGCATACGTACGCTGAATACGAATATGGATGTAGTTCTGCTGAGTGGACTTTACTTCTCCTCCAGCATCATCAGCCTCCGCGAACGGATCGAAGGACTTGAGATTCTGGATGTCCGTGGTCATGAAATCGACTGGTGGCGCTCTGCGGGTGCTGAAAGGGTGCGGTAGGGCAGGCGGTTGTCTTGTCGCGGGGAAGTGGAGAGTGCGGTTGTGTGAGGAAGGTCGCAAGCAGTTGGGTGGAGCGTGGAGGGTATTAATCGGCCAAGGGAAGGGTGGCGAGGGGACTGGGACCACCATCTGGGGGAGCCCGCAGGCGGTCTAAGCCCCGCTGCCAAGGCACAAGGCCCGAAACAGCATCAGCGCTGCTGAGTGTCCTAGGGACATCCTTCATTCACCACTCCTCGCATTCGCTTGTCCACGTGTGAAATGCTCAGCTGCGTTGCCGCAAATCCCGCGTTCTGGTTACTGGTCAAAGACATGACTATCTTCGCGACATGACGTTTCCCTTATCTTGTGTCACTATCTCATCACGCACGCGCACGCGCACTGTGACTCGCCTCAACAAAAGCGCATAGTCCATCAAGAGGCTTTGGGCATCATTACTAGTCAAAGTGCAGAAGGCTCATCCACGACTCATGAGCATGTTGGGAGTGGCTCGCTGACTTTCGCGAAGCTTCCACTGGCGTGTGGATGAACCCATTGGTTTCAGATCGAGATCGGACTCACCTGGATCAATACCGCGATGTCATCCGCTGAATACATTGGAACGCAGGAAGCCCGAGACAAGTAATAAGCGACGACAAGCAGGATGTTCACAAGTGTGTTCAAAACCTCATTCGCTATTAGCAGGCCAGAGAGCCACGCGCATGCTGTTACTCGTCCATCTCTTTCGCATGCCCTTCAATACCATTCGTAAATCTAGGCTATCCATCCGACATGTAACAACGCGAGTGTATCTGTCCGCCTATCTAACATCCCTTCTCACTGTCCGTGGTATTCATTTGCGTCCATGCCAGCCATCCGTCGATCTGGCAGGCTCCTCTTGTCCACCAAGCTCATTGCCAGCTCACTCCAGAACTCTGGCGGAAACCCTAGTCCCTGGGCATCCTCTCCCTGCGCTCTCATCCATTCTCCGGTAGCCTTGTAAG